CTTCCGAGTAGTGATGAAATCTCCCGCCCTCCGGCTCCGTCCTGCAGAGTGCATGATTCATCCCTCTGTCCCGCGTGTCTGTGCCGTCTGTGCTACCGGCCGTTAGTCACTCAGTAGCTGTCTCCACTATCAGATCGACTGTCACAGTATCGCTGTGCTTGTTCCCAAGTCACCCCTATTTTCCTTAATAATGGTCCCAAAAGGTAGGAGTGGTGACGCTGGTTCGGAATGTGCCAAATTAAAAGTAGAATTGGGCCCTAGCCGGCTTGGCTCAGTGGATAGAGCGGCGGCAGGCAGACCAAAGGGTCCTGGGTTCAGTTCTGGTCAAGGGCACGTACCTTGGTTGCAGGCTCCTCCTCAGCCCAGCCCGGCCCCGGGTTGGGGCACGTGTAAGAGGCAACCAATCGATGTGTCTTTCTCACATCAATGTTTCTCTCAGTCTTTCCCTCTCTCCCTAAAAATTAATGGAAAAAAATATCCTCGGGTGAGGATTCACAACAAATAAAATGAAAGTAGAATTGGAATATGCCAAAGACAGACTGTAAAGTGCTTCCTTTATTTGAAAAGATAAGAATGTATAGGAAGAAGCAAAGTATATATAGAGTTTGCTACTGTCCATGGTTCAGGCATCCACTGGGGGTCTTGGAATGCACTCCCTGCAGATAAGGGGGGATGACTATGGTTCAGACAGTAGCTGAATAGGCAGCCCGGTCAGTAGGGTGCAAGCAGACAAAGGGGGGGTTCCCACCAGGCAGGCCCCTCTCCATCTGATGGGGGGAACCGATGAGAAGTCGGCGAGTCATTTCTTTTGTTTCATTTTTTAAAAATGATTTAAAAATGTTTGTAAGTATTCAGCTGAGGTATAAAGGGGTGTCTATGCAGCAGAATGGGAAATGAAATAATAAATGCAATCGAAGAGTTAATGTTTGCGTATGCTTTTTATATGCCAGGCCCGGCTCTAACCGCTGTACATGCGTTAACTCACTTGATTGTGACAAAACCCCCAACAAGGCGGGCATCGCCGCCGCCGTCCGGGTTTTCCTGGGAAACGCTCACAGGAGGGGTGCCGAATCCAGACAGAGACGTCCGCTTTTGTGGAACCTACATCTGCTGGCTTAGGTTTTTGTTATGCGTCTGCATTACTTGTATCATTGAAAAGTACTTTTCCTCAAATGCTCTCCAAGAAGAGGTCATTGCACTCACTGTAGATTGTTAGGATGTGGAAACAAGCTCAGAGGAGTAAAGGAAGACGACCCGTCACCTCACCACACGGAGGACACAAGGGTTTTGGTGTGTGCCGCCCCAGGTCTTGTCTTCGTCTAAATACGTCATTTGATGAAAAAACTGGCTCACCCTGTAATGCTGCTTTAAAAGCTGCTTTTTCAGCTGACGATCAGATTTCGTCACGGCCATCTTCCCACGTCACGGTGCGGCCTTCGCTTGGTGCACAGCGTGGCCTTGGCCATGTTTCCGGGGGCCTCCTTCCGCTGTGGGAAGTAGGACGGGGGGATTCACTGAGCTCTGCTGAATGTGGCCGAGGAGCCTGGTGGATAAACCAGCCATATCTGGTTTTCTTGGCCGTGAATCCTTCAGGAAAGAATGTGAAGTATTTTCCCCACATCCTCCCAGCGGGGCGGCCAGAGCTCCGGCCCTGGAGGTCTAAGAGGAGGGAGCTGGTTCTCCACGGGGCAGCAGCCTCACCTGTGGGGCGAGGCTCCCGGGACCAAAGAGGAGGGTGCTGCACGCCCTGCAGAAGTTGAGCTCCCACGGGAATGCAAGCATCTGCCCAGTTCACGGGACGCCAAAACCTGGTGAGAAGGTGGCTGTGAGGAGACTGGAAAAACACCCCTGGGTGGCCAGCTGCTGGGAGGGGCCCGGGTGCGTGGGCAGCTCAGCAGCTTGCCTGGAGAAGCGGTGCCCACACACAGGAAGGAACAGCATTCAACACGTGGCCATAACCGTGCAGCCATAACCGTGGCCACCTCCACCAATGGCGAGCCAGCTGCCCCCCTTCCACAAGATCCAGCTCTTCGTTTGGTTATCTGGGGATTTCTGGGTTTTGTTTTGCTTTTAAATATTTATTTTTATTGATTTCAGAGAGGAAGGGAGAGGGCAAGAGAGAGAGAAACATCAATGATGAGAGAGAATCATTGATCGGCTGCCTCCTGCACAGCCCCTACAGGGGATTGAACCTGCAAACCGGGCATGTGTCCTGACGGGGAATCGAGCCGTGACCTCCTGGTTCCTAGGTTGACACTCAACCACTGAGCCATGTGGGTCGGGCTCTGGGGGTTTTGTTTGTTTGTGAAATTCAATGAGCCAAAGGAGGAAGCCCTAATGATGATATGAAACTTCTCGCGAGCTTGGAAAAACAGAGAATATTGGCATTTCTTCCCCTCTGAGTGACAGGGAGCTGTTCCTTCCTCAGATGCAGCACCTCGAGGGACATTCGTGCGGCTCAGTGTCTTCCTCCTGGATCGCTGGCTGTCGGTTCCTGGTGTCTTCTATGCCCTTCAGGGGGACAGGTGCCGCTGGATCAGCCAGCTCTGTGGATAAGGGGCCTGACCTGGGCCAAGACAGATCCTGGTGCCCTGACCGGTTTGGCTCAGTGGATAGAGCGTCGGCCTGCGGACTCAAGGGTCCCGGGTTCGATTCCGGTCAAGGGCATGCACCTTGGTTGCAGGCACATCCCCAGTGGGGAGTGTACAGGAGGCAGCTGATCGATGTTTCTCTCTCATTGATGTTTCTAACTCTCTATCCCTCTCCCTTCCTCTCTGTAAAAAATCAATAAAATATATTAAAAAAAAAAAAAAAAGACAGATCCTGGCTCTGGTCCTGAGTCACTAACCACTCATCACTCACCTAAATCACGAATGTCCTCTGTGGCTCCCAGCAAGTCTCTTCAGCCTCTGTGCCTCCCTGCTCCGGTCTGCGAACCTGTAGGTCTGCGAACCTGTAGGTCTTTGCCCTGGGAGCCCTTGGCCTGTCAGAAGTCTAGACGAAGTCACTGGCACATTCGATGACTTATC